GTGTGCCTATAAAGCTCAAAACACACATAAAATGAATCTGCAACTGTCTTTTTGTTTATTATATTTCAGTTAACTAAAACATTTGAGTTGTTCTCTCTTTGAGTGTGTTATGCACCATCCACATTGGAAAAATGTAAAAAAAAAAAAATCACTAAAAATGAAAAAAGGAGAAAACAGCTGTTCCAAAAGAAATCACAGCTATTTTTACGATAATACTTTTGTAAAGTTTGATAAATATTCTATATTGCTATTGCAATGCATTACTGCTACTTCAAAAGAGGAGAAATCTGTGTCAAAAGGTCTAAATCTAGCTTTCTAGTATGGAAACTGTCTTTAGACTCGCTCGGTGCACTGAATAAAGAAGAGTTAGGGAGGTTTCACGACTTTATGTTATGTGGGTAGATTCTAGATCTGGCTGGTTATCATCTGGCAGTAATCCACAGTCTCTGTGAAAAAGTAGATCGTTCTACGGCTTAAAAATGAGCATGCTACCACACTTGCAGAAAGTATGTAAAAATAGCTAGCCTACTTTACTCCAACCGGTGCGTAGCCTTACCTTTAGTCTGAATGCACAGGTGTTTACATGCTCCTTATGTGAGAATGACTAACACTAAATTACTATATATCTGTCTTCTGGCTTTATGCAAATGTTGAGAAATGTGTTTTATTGCTCTTTTTCCATCCCTGATGAAGCATCTTGCAATCTCCTTAATAAAACACATTTATAAATGGTTTTTTCATTGTTATAAAAACTTTATTTTTAAAGCAGTTTTATAATAAATAATAACATTTTTTATTAATATATTATTTAGCTGTAATATTGGCATTATAGTTGTTGGATAAAGGGACTTTGTTGTGTATCACTGTGTTACAAAATAACTAAAAATGACTTAATCCCTTGCAGTATACCACGATAATGGATGCATTCTTATAGCAAGTAAACTTGACCTTTTGCTGGTTTTAGGTACGAACCCATCTTGTTTATGGGGCTAACAACAGGTTGTAATCATGTAACGTGAATTAGATCGGAAATGATGTGCAGATTGTCCTACCTGAGACTCTGTACTGGTAGGTGAAACATGTACTATTAAGAACACAGGACTCTGACTGGACCATCTCTGGACAGGGTGAGTTATCTGAAGCTGCGGGGCGCAGGATATGTCTGCTTCTGTTTCTTGATGTATCTTGGTCACATTGCTGCAGAATAACAACAACAAAAGCAACAAAAAGAAAAAAGAGTGATGGGATGATCAGGCAGAAACAAAGCATCCTACAGCATCCGCTGTCTTTAGTGTTATGATCTA